GAGCTTCTTGGGATTACTTTGATACAAATGATGGAGTTGAGAGCTTCAGGTTTTTGGGGACTGGTGGGATGGATGTGAACTTTGAGGATGAAAGAATGTGGAAGCAATTCAAGGGAGAATTGGCAGATGCCAAATTTGAGCTCCCGGAAGGAAGTGAAAAACCAGAAGCAGAGCTAAAGGCTTTTGATAATGGTGGCCATTTGAGTTCCTCTGGGGTCATTGAAGAGAGAAGTTTGGAGGCAGTGAGACGGGAAGACAACAATCAAATGATGAGTTCGTCGAGCAAAGTTATGCTCGAACAATCCGGTTCGAGGGGGGTGGTTAAGTTGGAGAAAAATTTATGTACTGAACAGGAAGATCCTTCAGAGTTTATTACTCATAGAGCAAAAGATTTTATTTCCAGCATAAAGGAAATTGAGCATCGTTTCCAGAGAGCTTCAGAATCTGGGAGGGAGATCTCAAGAATGCTTGAGGCCAATAAAATCAGAGTTGGATATCTCGAAGCAAATGGTAAATTGACGAGAAATCTTCGATTATCCACTTCAGTTGCTTGAATTATTTGTAGATATGCATGAGTATTTGATGTTTTTTTGGCTGAATCGTTCAGTAAACTTCATTGTTGCATCTCAACTCTTACAGGAAGTATATCTGATCTTGCTTTTTTGGACCCTTTACGTCGTTTACGACTCGTTTGCTGTACTGGAAAGCCTGCCCTCTTTTCTCATGGTAAAATTTTTGCTCAGAAGAGAATCCTTGAATGCTGAGAAAGATAGCCATTTTCTTTAAGAACTTTTGCAGTAGTTAATCCTTAAGAGTCTTAATGTATGTGCAGAACCTCATCAAACGAAAGTGATTACTTGGAAACGGTCAACATCGTCGCGGTCATCTTCGTCGAGAAATCCTCTCACTACCAAAGATGATGTTGATGACAGTGGAAGTGATTTTGTAGAAGAGTTCTGTATGATCTCTGGAAGTCATTCCTCTACATTGGACCGGCTTTATGCTTGGGAGAGAAAACTATACGACGAAGTCAAGGTATGTTGTCGAGTCCACTTTCTGTCAAGTGAAGAAGAAATATCAGATTTTCAAAGATATTGCTTTCTGGCATACATTTTAACATTCACGATACGATTTATGATATGCACCGATTTCCTGAAAGCATTTCATGGAGATTTAAGAGAATGATCTTCTGATACAATGTTCAAAATTGGATTCCTCATATAGATGATTGTTTTGGTCACTGAACTGAGCTTTAAGATTTAGGAGATTGGATGGATTTACATGGTAACCTTATTGAATAAGGCTTGATTGTCTTTCTCGTTTCACCTGTACTTTTAGGCAAGTGAATCAATTCGGAAGGAGTACGATCGGAAGTGCGATCAACTAAGATACCTATTTGCGAAGGATTACAGTACACAAGTCATTGACAAGACGAGGTCTGTTGTCAAGGATCTACACTCCCGCATACGAGTTGCGATCTATTCTGTTGATTCGATATCAAAACGCATCGAAAAAATGAGGGATGAAGAGATGCAGCCACAACTTATCGAACTTATTCAGGGGTATGAAGGATCTTCTCTTCTTCTTCGCAATCAAAATAATAATGCAAACTGCCCATTGTGTAGGTGGATGTGATGCATGTTTTGCCGTTGTAGTTTTGTTTCGTCAATAGTTCTTGTTTTGGTGCAGGTTGATCAAGATGTGGAAGGCGATGCTCGAATGCCATCATGCACAGTACATCACGATATCACTGGCATATCACTCAAAGAGCATTGCTGCTGGTACACCCCGAGCAGATGCACAGAGGCAGATAACAGTCCAACTTCAGCAAGAGATTGAATGTTTTGGCTTAAGCTTTGCAAACTGGATCAACAGCCTTGCATCATATGTTGGTGCCTTAAATGGTTGGCTACAACACTGTATTCAACTGCCACGGGAACGCTCAAAGAGCAGAAGGCCTTTCTCCCCTCGTCGTGTCGTGGCCCCGCCTATATTCACCCTATGTCGTGATTGGTTTACTGGAATCAATGATCTTCCATCTAATGAACTTAGCAACGCCATTAAAGCCTTCTTGGGAGAATTGCAGAGTTCAATGTCCCAACAAGCAGAACTACAGAGGAAACAGAAGATTGTTGAAGTAGACACTGGGGAAGAACCCGAGGGGAAAGATGACGAGAACAACGATACCATTTCTTCAAACTTAAGTTGCATTCATTCGAGCTTAACGAAGGTTCTTGATCGACTCAAGAAATTTTCCGAGGCTTCGCTCAAAATGTACGAAGATGTTAGACAGAAGAGTGAGAATGCTCGTACAACATATATGAACTATAAGCCTGTTAGATATTAGTTATGTAATTAACGGGGAGAGTACAAATATTTCTCAAGGCTGAGATTGATATTTGTACAGTTTTGAAAGCAGAGTTTCTGTGATTTCATGGTGATGCTTATTTCAGTTACCATTCTGCTTCCAGAATTTCTGTTGATTTCTTAAAAATCTGTTCTACTTGCTCTCACTTTTCCTTATTTTTGCGATCTTAGATCAAATTTAGAATGATGTAATCCTTTTCAATGAAAAATGGACTATTGCAAATGTGCTTTATAATAACCGCATCCATGTTCCTGATCTGAATTTATGACTAGAAAAAAGAAGAGGAGAAAGAACTTGGAACTTGTCGAAAAATCAAATCTTTTATTCATCAATTTAAATGAATTTTTTGAGTTTTTTCTGTAATATCCATCGATACCTAAATTGTTTCACTGACATCCAACATCTTCATAAAATTAAGATCTCGATATTTTGAGACTGACATTACAGGGAAACTAATTGACAATTGGTATTCCAGGATCATTTGGATGCAACTTGACTCTAAGAATCTAGACAATCTAATTGTTTGTTTCAGTTATCAGGATACTGTTCCCGAGGTATTAATAGCCTAACCACCCGCCAAAGGCCTCGAATTTGTATGAAAAGCTTGTATCAGTTGGCAATCAGAATCCGACGTACTGTGTGTATTGAGAGTAAGCACCCGACTGCATAGCGATAGGTGCTCGAGTGACATGATCTGGAAGATCAAATGCATCAACCAATTCTTTTGCAATATTTCTCACTTGGAAACTTAGATATTCAGCGAGCTTATGAATTGCCTGCAGAGAAGTTGGAAAAGAATTCAACTGGACTGATAAGAGTTATGTTGTCTATAGACAATTTGATGCTTCCTAAATACCTTTGCTTTGTTTGGAGCTACATAGTCAACATTACGGTATGTTCCAATGTCGTTCCAGATTCGATCCAAGGCGTAAAGGTCACATAAGAGTTTCAAAGTAGCCTGTGTATTTGCATTGGGACATCTGATGAAAAAGGTCAAATCCTTAAACTTCAGAACAGAAAACTATATGGAGTTAACTGCAGGTGTTGGGATGAGAGGAACCTTTGTACAGCTTTGATAAACTGGGCGAGGATTACAGACTCGATATGGGATTCCGCAAGAGTCAGGAGGTGATTTAGGCATCTATTCCAGGCACCAAAGCTGCCAAGAGTTTTAGTATGCTTGCGAAGGCGAACAGCCACGCTTTGAAGCAATCGTGACGTTCGATACTGTGACAAGAACACCATAAAGAATTAAGATTTTGCTGATCGCTGGAAGCATTTTCATATTAAGAAAGCAGCTATCATACTCACTTGAAAGGCATCCAACTGAAACTTTGGATCTCGCAAATGGTCTGCACTTTCCCACCGTGCAGTAACGGGATTTGGTTGAGATAGATACGTATTCATCGATTCTCGCAGGTAGTTCCATGTAACTGCAAGCGTCCCTCCTTCAAATTTCTCCTTGTATTGTTTCAAGAGGTAGGCTGCAACCTGTATGAAATGTGAAAGTTCAGCTCTAATCCTTCGAGAAGGCCTAGAAATGATCTTCCAGATCATACATATGAGCCTAGTAACTAACATCAAGAGCTCAGAATGAATGAATGGAAGATTAATTGGCACTGAAATTAGAGATTAAAGTATAATATAGTATCATCGAAGGAAGAAAAATGCCCAATAAGGCATGGGTTATGTTGGCAAAACCTGTTGTAGAAGAACAGTATTGTCCCCTTCAAAAGTCTGGAAAATATCATGATCGTTCCTTAGGCTACCAAAGCGGTTAACGGCAGCATAGCCATGGCCACCACAGGCTTCCCTGCAGGTGCTCAATGACTTTGCGGTGTATGAAGTCACGTAAGCCTTGAGCCCCGCCGATAATGCATGAACATCTCCAACTAGTTCTTCATCATTAGTCTTCTTCATCAGTGCATACTTTTCCACTAGTTGCAGAGTAGCAAAATGGAATGCATAATTCGAGGCCAGCATCGGCATTAGCTTGTGTTGTTGAGACTGGTAATCAAGAATACTGACTTCTGGCTGCTTCGGAGGGCCAAACTGCTGACGTAACAGCGAATATCTGATTGCAATTGTAGAAGCAATCTTAAGGACACTGACTGAAGAATATGCAAGGGCAACCCTTCCACCTACAAGTTCTCCTAACGTGGCCGCAAATCTTCTACTGATGGATGGTAGACTACTCTTATACTTCCCGTCCCGGGATACCTCTCCAAACCGGTCGAGGAGGTTATCCCGGGGAATTCTCACTGAAGAGAATCTCAATGCTCCATTATCCACCCCATTGAGGCCAACCTTGTGTCCACAATCATGTATTTCAATTCCTGGAAGCGTTTTATGTGACTTGAGATCTCTTATCGGAACAATGAAGGCATGGACACCCATATCAGCAGTCTTTTTTGCATCATAAGTTGGCAAAATAAGCTTAGCAAAAACAGTGGCAAACTTGCCATGAACTGCAGCGTTGCCAATCCACCATTTGATCGCTCCATCATTCGGCGTATTGATAATGAATTCATCTGTGATCGGATCGAATGTGGCTGTTGTTTGGAGACCCTGGACGTTTGAACCTTCAAAGAATTGAAGGAAGATATTTTAGATCAAAATGCAAACCTACATTATTGAACAGGACGTAAGAAGTGCTGACAATAAAAGAACATAGTCCTCAACCATCGAGTTGAAAAGTCTGAATTGAGTAATAATTATAAAAACTTGAGTTAGCATAACCATATTTGATCTGTTGGTTTATGATTTGTGCAAATTAGCATCTAGTATTATGAAAGTTAAACTTCACAGACGTAGATTACTATAACATGCAAAGTTTATATAGTTCGCGAGATTAGTAAATTTGTAGTCTAAACCTCCTTACCAAACATAGACAATTTCTTAAACTCCAAAAACCACAAACAAACAACAAAATTCACATTCTTACTTACCATGGTGAAGTTCTGTCATAGCAAAGCAGCCAGGATAATCCAAATTGTCAATACCATCAAAGAATTTGTCTCTGTGCTTTTTGGTTCCTAAATTGAGTACAGAGCCACCCCAAAGACTGCAAAATGAAGCATTTCCATAAATAAAATAGAACACAATTTGGAATACAAAAGATACAAGTATGAATCAAATAATGTCATCTATCTAACTACTTCACATCCAATAAGGAAACGCAACTCTTTTACCCTAGATTTTGCTTTAGAGATATTTTGGATTAAAAGTATAACAATCAAGGGTACAAGTACAATTGCAGAAAGTTACTACTGTAAGAAATGATAAAATAGTAAAAAGGATTAGAACAAGAACAAGAACAAGAACAAGAACAAGAACAAGAAATTCGATTTAGAATTTTGGTGTGAAGTTCGAAGGAGAGTAAATAAAAGATCACCTGAACTGCACGCCCATTTTAATCGCGAGGGAGACATCGATGCTTCCCACAGCCTCCATAATGGCGAAATACTTGGCCGGATCATCATTCACAAATCTCAACGGCCTGATTCCGGCCTCCCTCACCAGAGCGATCAGTTGCTTCATACAGAGCTCCCGATGATCGGCCATGGAAATCTCCACCGGCGTATGCAGCTCCGGCCTCGAATTGAAGTACTCGAACACCCGCTCCTGAATCTCCCTATGTTTTCCCCTCATGTACTGCGACAGACTCGCCGTATCGACCTCGAGCTTCGCCTTCGCCGCGCCGCACGTTAGCATCTGTAACTGCGAACCGTCGCCGGGAACGGGAATCGGCGCCATGTGTAAGGACAGCCGCTCGATTCGCCGGGAGATTGCCTGAGATTCATCCTCCGCCGTCCGATTTGATTCTCCCGACGACATCTCCGACAACCGCGCACCAGAAAATTGCAGAGAGCCGGTTCGCCGATTACTTAAAAAAGGGAACAGAGAGATGACTTGGCGTAGTAAATATCAACGTGTCGAAATTTGATTGGCGTACGTGGCTGGCATTGAATCTGGCGCGTTTCTCAACGCAATGGATAATGCTTGATGAATGATTAGAAGTTTTGAAGATCAAATTTGTGACTGTGACGTTTCGACCCCTTATTCCTCTGTTTATTTATGAGTTGTTTCATGGCCATTTTCGTCTTTATCTTTAATATTTTAAATCTAATTTCTATTTGGTTAATTTAGTATATTAAATCTCACAAATTCTATTATTTTTTCTAATATAATTAACTAAGTAAAAAAATACTAACTCGTTACGTAAATAGAAAAATATTATACTTTTCATGATAAGAATAATTTACGAGCACAAATGAAATGATATTATTGAATTTTTAAAATTGCAGGAATTAAATTGAAATTAGATCTAAATATGGAGATTAAATGTGTGGTTTGACTTTATTTTAAAATTAGGCTTATAATAATTGCTTTTTGAAAAAATTGGCTCGATGGATAGGCCTCCATGTCACGTCCATCGGTGATCGGCTAAGCCCAAATGATGAAATATGTAATATAATAAAGGATCCCATTTGGATAAAATTTCTTTTGAATATTTATGCTTTATCAAATTCTAAATTCATATTTTTACGAAGATTGTCATTTATTAACTACCAAATACTAGTTATTATCTATCAACCAAAAACATAGCTAAGTGGTTAAGACATATATCTCTGATCAAAAGATCATGAGTTCAAACCCTGACCCCACATGTTGTACTAAAAAAAAATATTATCTATTACATTCTTTGCAAAAAAAATGAAAAGGTTAACATATGTATTATGTCATGATGCCTAAAATCTACCCACCTAGGTGTGACTTTAGTAAATGACGTATACTTGTGACATATACTTCTTTCTTTCTTTTAAGTTAGAAGTTCAAATCCTCATACCCCACATTTCCTATATTTAAAAAAAAATGAAGATTCGGATATGGTGACCGTCCTTATCTCGAGACAACGACCTTAATGAATCAAATCATGAGAACCAGACGCCATATTCATACACAATTTATTTAGAATCTCAATCTCAAATAATTACAGAAAAGTTGACAGAAATAAAACAAGTAGCCTTTTGACAGTGATTTTTTTCCTACTATTCTCTATCAATGGCAAAAAAATTGAATCCCCTTGGCCCTGTCATCTGTATCTAAAAATTAACCAATGACAGTTAAATCACCTATTCTTCTGATACCTTGAAGAAAGTGTAGGATAGAATTATATTGTTGATGCCGTCCATTTTAGGATCAGTTTCAAACTCAGGATCAATGTAAAAGAACACCTGCAGAACCCCAGGTCGTGGATCAGATGATTTGGCTAAAAACTCGAATCGAAAGAAGAAATATACACTTACAGGCATGTCAATTTGCTCGCCGGGAAGGAGGCGCTGCTCCTCGAAGCAAAAGCATTGTATTTTATTGAAGTAGATTGCAGCCTGAAACAAAGTTCAAGTGAGGAAAAAGTCTCACACTCTTTATGAGTTTTTCCTAAAGATGTTGTGAAGCTAGCCTAACATGAAATACCACAGTTCACAGGAACCAAATGACAAACTAATTCAGAAAACAGAGCTACCGGTTTGTTAATTTCACTAGTTGTATTAAAATTTATGTTTTTGAAGCCTACATTTTAAGCAACCTGCTAACTTTCACAAATAAAAGCTATACACAAGCTTTACAAAAGCTTCTAAAATTTATTTCTTTTATATTCCAAACACAGATTGGACTAACTTAGACTTCCCAACCTTAGACGAAATGGAACAAAATGAATTAAATCCCTCCCAAGAAGCTGCAAAAATCTCAGAGAGTTGAACTCATCGAACACCATGAATATCATTTAAAATTCTTCTACCTTACTCCCTCGTCAATCCCCATAAAATTAATTTGAGAACATCTCCCTAAAGGATTTTAGCTTTCAAACTTCAAAACATAGCATCAAGGAATTGGATAAGAAAGACAATGTCTTCCACCGTCTTTGGGCAACTCCGCTGCATACCAATCAACTTAAGATATTTGCACATGGAAGCAAATATATACTTTACAAATTGTATTTTTGTAAAATTAAAGCCGACAGAAAACAATTTTAAAAGATTAATCTATAAGCAATTTCTAACAACAATTTATTTATTAAAAAAAAGCAACCCCTTATAAATTGTTAACCTTGTATTGAATTTACACTTAACAAACGAATGATAAAACACCACAATGAGAAGATATGTGACTTGAGAAACAAATAGCAAAAGTCATCCTGAATTTTCTTTTCAATGGAGGTCAAACTTTATCAATCATCTTGAAACTTTTTATCTTAAGCATCAGATTTGCATAAATAAAGCAAATAATCTTTCAAAAATTTCTCTAACATTACACCTTATAGTAGAAAATTCAAGATTTCATAGCATGACAGTAATTGACATTTATAAAAATTGTAGTTTCTACAGTACGGCGTAGGGAAACTAGATATTACCTTCATAGGTGTGACATTGTACGTAGACACACCCGTAATTGGAGTTGAACTTCGATTTTCAGCAGTGTAGAATGCAAGTGCACTTTCCCCAGGTTTTACCCTTACCTAAGACAACTGACAAAGTCCTTACTCTATTGGAAATCTTGTTTTCTTGTGGGACATGTGTATTTGCTTTTTCTTAGACATACATACAAGCAGATGTGTCAAGATTAAGATGTTCATGTGCAATATATATATTATACATGCATTTGAAGAAGGGCACACCTCTCTCTGTGTTGGGATAAACTTCCACGGCATTCCATCAGCTACGTCAGCATTAAACTGCACTACAATATCCCTGGTAACAAATTAAAATTTATCAGGCAATATAGGAACTAAAATTATATTAAATAACCATATTCAAAATGAATGTACTACTTAACCTTTACCATAACATTATATAATAGTGAAATGTAATTACAAAAAAGGTGCAATTAATGAAAATCCCAATGCCTCATCTCCCAACTAGGATGTGGACATTATCTACAGTAAATTGATTTAGTGAATCATATTTTTGTAACAAGGGAACCTCAAAGTATCTTTCGTCCTGATAAATTTGTCCTTCTAGATTGACTCCAGCAAAATGTGGTAATTACGACACTCTTTAAGATTTACGTCCTTCTCGGACACCTGTCTTCCATCTAGCTGCTCTCAAACATACAATTTTGCAACATGTTAGTGGGGTGCCAATGCTTACAAGAAAAGGTAAGACCCTTTCTTTATGTCTGTGGTTACTTTTAATAGGTTATTCTATCCGGCTATTGTGGTGGATAGCCACAATTTTTACTTTAATTCTTCTTCAAGAAAGTATATTTTCTATATAAAAAAATTACAATAATCCTAATGAAGAGGAAACGAAGGACTGTCTTGCTTGTCTAAAGCATTATTGACTAGGTACGGTACTGAAATGTGCGATAATTGTGAAAACCAAATGTTCAAAATTGTGAAAACCAAATGTTCAAAATCTTATTTCACTTACTACCCTGATCTGTTCAATTTCATCAATTTCTTAACTTTCACATCTATAAGGCTCACATTCTGCAATTCCAACTGCGTACTGATAGCCCCGTTAAGAACATTTATGCTAGGAAGAAGAGGGAGAGTGAGGCATGAGGTTGGGGTATTTTATGCTTAGACATGTGGGCTCGAGTTAGTTACTGTACAGGCTGTCTTGGGAATTATGTGTGGTTGTATATATTGTATGAGAGAGAGAAGAGGTATCTTTATGGCTAGGCTGTTCGGAATAGAGCAGAGGTAGGAAGCTCTCGAAACCTCCCTTGGCCTCTGTGATTTCTCTCTGATGATCAATAATATGAGTGGTTTTTAGCACGTATCTAATCAAGTGCAAACATGAAAAGATAGAAAGAATAAAAGTAATGATAAATAGAATTAAGATTGAGAAAGAAAGTCACATTAGGCAGGAACAAAATGCTTTAAAAACTAAAACCAAAACAAAACCAATCATTGCTTCAAAACAAAACTTATGTTAAACAGAGTTTAAACCTTGTAGTTACTGTTCCATCTTTAGCATGGCGAGCAATCTTTTCTTCGACGCTCTACATAAAGGAAATTTTTTCTCAATTGAAAAGCAGAGAAATGAGTAATCTGACGTGATAACAAAAACCAAAGAAGAAAAATACCTCACGGCGCTGAACAGTGCCCCCATAACCAGTAGCTTGGCAGAACCTCCTATAAAGAGGAACAGCAGCATAACTACATCCCACCATGACAAAAACCAATGCTACAAGGTATAAAAGCATATTTTGGGACTTCCGTTCTCTAGCAACTTTAGAGTAGCTGCGTTGAATATTGTGTGAGGAAGAACACCTCCCAGTATAACGAGTAGAAAGAGGTGAAAACCAATGAGACTTATGAAATGACTGTGAATGGAATCCACGTCCCAGTTTCAAGCCCCATACATCTAAGTCAGAACCTCTTTTGCAAGCTCGACTAAAATTATAGACTGATTGCCGTAGAAAATTGGATGTGAACCTACATACAAAAAGCCTACAGTGAGCATAAGACTACAAAAACAGTAACTAATCCGCAAGATGTGACAGTTGAGATAGATCCAAAAACACAATTTCTGGTAAGCATGAGTAATCAAAGGATACACAATACCCAAAGGTAACAGGTAATAAAGGATTAGCCAAAAGTAGGATGAGATCCAAGGATGTTAGTTCTCTCAGATTTAGAGATAAACGTGGTGTCCGGAATAAGGAAAAATTTTCATTGAACAAAAATTTCAGGATATGTATAACGAATACGGTCCACAGTATATTTGATTGAATAGAAATAATAAACTTATCACTGGGAAAGCTAAAAATTGGAGGGAGGTGGTCAACTTAGCTAAATTCCATCTAACTTTTTAGGTTTCTATTAATAGAGAATTTAGTAATTATACTCCTCCTTTTGCAATTAGTTCAAATTGGCGAGGGCTTTTTGTAGAATTCTTGGTTGTCACTCTAGTTTGTAATATAGGAATGGGGACTTTTATATCACTTTGTAACTTTTCACATATCAATGAGGATTTTTCTTTTGTTTAAAAAAAGTTTGAACTTAGTACTTACATAAAGAAATGTACACTAACATTTGTAAATCTTCGCTTGACAAGTTACACCACCTTCTTAAATCAAAAGCCTAGAATTATTTTAATCACTTTTAAAGAGAGAAGTCATTTGGATACTATATTTCTTAGTTCTTAAGATAAGGCAAGAGAAGACTAGTCAAGAAAGAACAGCACAAGATACTTTTCAGAAGGATTTGCTATCAAGATATCAAATAAATTAAATCATAGCAAGAAGGAAAACTCCACAGAATATCACCAAGTTTACAAGCCGATAATTAAGCAATATAAATATCTTGATGACAATCAACATTGAACTGTTATCTTTCATCAAGGGAAAACCATAGTCCCAGGAAAAACTTACGATGCATGAACATGTGAACTGAGATTACCATTGCGAGACCAGAGGTAACTTGGACACTGTAACCCACGATCAGCCTCACAACAGGATGCTACTGTTGCCAAGCTCAAATGTTCTGACGCACCACCTCCCAGAAAAGGGAATGCTCCAAAGGACTGCATCAAACAAGCAGATCCATGTGTCATCATTCTTTGAGATAAGGGATGAGGAAGATGGAGCCTTCATCTATACATATTATAAAAGCACAATTTTGAAGAAGCATTTTTGGACCATTATACATCATGCATTACACGTGATAACAGATTAGTAACAAAAAACGAAAAAGCAACCACAATGATTGCTTTGCCCAAATATAATCACAAAGGCAGTCAAACAAGCTCTAACAAACAATGAATTTGCCTACTTCATGGAAGTTCCACGTAACAAAATGTAATAATAACTTAAATAAAATAAAAACAATTGATAACATCAAATGAAATGTTGATACCAAAAACGTTCAGAAAATTACTTGATCGCATTACTATATTCAAAGTAAAATTTTAGGTTTATAAATCTTATTATGATTCTTGAACTTTCTTATTTCATTTTATTTTAGTCCTTAAATTTTCAAATATTTTATTTTAATCACATAAAGTTTAAATGTTATATCGTAGTCACTAAACTTTGTATAAAAAATTATTTTAGTTCTTACCGTTAATTTTTCATTAATCATTCAACAAAATCCCAAATCTATTTGAAAATTTGATATCTAACCAACTACTAGTGAGTTTTCGTTAGATATGACTTTATTAGAAGAAGCACTGATTAAAGTTTTTTAATTGTTTCTAAATATTTTAACAATTTTCAAAATCACTTTTCATTAACCAACCAAAAATTTTGAAAAATGCTTTTAATTATCTAAAAGTATTTTTCACCCCTCAAAAAATCATTCCTAACTCATCCAACATGTGACTAAAATGTTTTCTTTTTTTTTTTTTCTTCCCTCCTACAATTGAAGACCTCGCGGCAAACAAAAGATTTGAGAATCACAGGATGGTTTTTTGAACTAATGCGATAGGTGCACTCCTTGAAGATTAGCTTTGTGAAGACATTGTATATGACCTGGTTTTTTGGTTCCTTAAATGTACTATGTTTCCTAACCATTCTCTTACTATTTTAATGACCAATTACAACCCTTTTTGTAACTCCTCAATTATGGAATGAAAAGGTCTGTGTTTTATAAGAAAAATTATAAACCAATTTATACTCCAAGTTATATTCTCTCTCACTAGACGATACCATGTATCACAAGATTCACAGCATTGTGTTTGATGGACTCAATAATATTCAAATTCTTAAAGCGATCATAAATTTCACATATGACCATTAAAGCTGCTTCATTCAACAAGCTAGTTCTCCAGGGGAAAAAGAAAGGAAGAAGGCAAAGTAAGTTCTTACTGTTGATTGGGTCTTAAGCTTCCTCCTTAGTAACTGCGAGATCATTACTCCGCCAGCCATCTTAGTCAGTATTTCTATAAGCTGGTTTAGAAATCAAAATAACAAGCAAATGAAGATAAAAAAGGCATTTCAGGCATAGCTGTAAAGAACCATGCTTAATAATCTATTTAAATTGCCAGGGGTTAATAATATTAAAACAATATTTCTTCTTTCTTTTCTTGGGAGTGACAGGGTGTGGTTTAAATGCAAGAATAATTCATTCACAATCTCAAAAAGGCCAATCATTCAACCAAAGATTACAAAAAGCAATACTAAAATCACTAACAAAGGAAGACCAGAAGGTTGTAATAAAAATTTCACATTCACATTCCATGTTGGACCTTTTGATAACTTTTGCGACCTTGTACAGCATACAACCTCTAATTGCAGTGCTATCCACAAATACTTTGGTAGTATTCCCTCTTTTATTACCAACTTAGATTGGAGGCCTTTTGTTTGTTTCCTCCTCTTAGGCTTAGGGATCCCTGTTCTGTTTTTTAGTGCGTTTTTGAGAGAAAAGAAGGATTAACAAAGTAGATCCCATTCTTATCAAGGTCCCAAACCCTTTGGTCTTCCATCCCATAAAGAGAGCTATGGATTAAATAGACCGTGAGAGAATTTCATTCACCCATCTTTCTGTTCAAGAGGGGCCTTCTAAATACCAGATTCCACAATTAGACAAACCATCCTACACATCCTTAATTATTGCATCTTTTTGGGCAGAAAGGGAGAGAAAAGTCTAGGGAAGCTGTCTCTAAGGTAACCTCTGTTACTCCAATTATCTGACAGAAATAATCATAAAAAACTATTGTTGAAAAAAACGATCATTTTAACTACGTTGAACCGTAGGGTGGTAAAAGAGAAATGACAGAATTGGATTGAAAGAGAAAACCCAAAAAGAATTTACATATATTGATGTTATCCGGACATATGAATTTTCAACTGAAATTAACAAGAAATTCTGTTATTGAATGTGTTGAAAAATACGTTGTATATTTCAGCTGCTACTTGCTAGTTGCAACTGATCCAACTAGATTACTCACTTGACTAAACAAAACTCTCTTAGAATTATTAAGAAACTATACATGAATATAAAGAACTATAAACCCAGAATCTCAATAGCGGATCTAATTTCAACATTCAATGACCAATTTTTACTAGGACGCCATACTAATTCAGCACGTTCACCATATTTATAAACACCAATTTCTAAACGCCCCAACAAGTAAGAAAGAAAAAAGAACGAGTTGGAAAGGGATGCCGTACCTGGCTTTTCTTTTCTTCAGCCGATAAACAAAATGACCACAAAATCAGAACCTGAGAGAAAAGAAAAGAGCGAGCGAGCAACCCGTGAAGCAGTGTAGAGTCGACGAGAGAGAGAAAAAGAGAGCTCGAAAATTGCAGAGGTTTTCGCCACTGAGAGAGAAGCTGAAAATGCAGTGAGGTTGCGGCTCAGCGGATGTTAATCGGGTCGGTCCAACTCAATTTCAGGCGGTCCAGATAAACGGTTCCGTCGGCTCGGTTGGACGGTTTCGAAACACCAAAATTTTGAAGGGAGGGAAGTGTACGAACCGACGATAGAAGCCCTAGCACCTTTGTGGGCCTGTTTGTGCGGCCCATACCCTAACTGTCCACATTCTTTTATGGAGGCCATATCTTGGTTGGGCCCAAAAGAGGCCCAAGACAGGATATGCACTATGTGGCTATGAACACTTTTTCACGAAGGAAGAGGAAAATATCATGGAAGTTTGGTGTTTTGTGATTCGAACTTTCACGAAAATTGCATAGTAATTAAATTTAAGATTTTTTTTTTTATAAAAAAAGAATCAATTAGATAATTTACTTTATATCAAGTATTCGTTCATTGTTAATAACACTTAATTCTCAAAACCAAAACACTATATAAGATCATTGGGGGAGCCTTAAATTTTAAAATTTAGCTAGTTCTTTATAAAATATACCATAAGAAAAAGGTTGGCGAACAATTTAAATATAATTTGAAAAACAAAAAAGAAATGGACTTTGAAATTTTTATTTTATTTTATTTGAAATTCCAATGTATTTTCACAAGGCTAAAAAGAAAAACAGATAGTAAACACAGACTCATTTTTTGGTGTGTGTGTGTGTGGGGGGTAATGGGATTTTGGCATTATTCATTATTGACAAAAATTATTGTTGGGTTACAAAAAGAAAAAAAAAGGATTTTGGACAATTATTCTTGAAAGGATGGAGTGAAGAAGACGTGGGCAAAAGAGGTCAGAATAATTGATTTGACTCTAATGTAACCCATCCTCTCTGAGTTTGATGTGTGCTACTCAACCCAACCCCACTCCATCTACCACCATTCAACATGCCCTTCCCTCCCCCTTCAATAATCTCCCCTCTCCCTCTCTTTCCATATGTGCTCGGGATGCGAACATAGTTCTACATCGAATCAGATATAAAAGTAAAGATGATAGGTATTATTGGAGTTGCAATGATTACGAACAACGTCCCACGTTGGTTAGAGATGAGAGTCCATAGTATATAGATAATGAAAATTATCATTCTTAGTAAGAAGTCTTTTGAGTGAAACCGGGTAGTTACCAACTAAATATTTAGTTAAATGATAAATTATAAAATATTATTGATTAATTTATTAACATATATGTTATGAATTTTGTATAATTATAATCTTACAATATTATAAAATATTACGTTTATTCAAGTTTTTATATATTTTTTTAATATCTTAAAATTTTGAATTTAAAATGTGAAGATACTAAAAAAGAATTTGGATGTCATAAATATTCTCACTAATTTCTCTCCTCTAAACTTTCAAAAATGGAAAGATTACGCATATAAAAAATTAAAATGTAAAAATTTTACTCCTACAAAAAAATTTTGGGTTCACCTGTGGAGGGTGTGGAGTGTAAAAAAAAAATTATCGCTTAAGACATTAGTGTCAAGTTAAGCATCGTTCACCAATTACGTTCATACACCAATAACTATTCTTTTGAGTTAGAGCTCTAAATTTTTACTCCAACAATAGTAATGTTATATTTTGAAAAAATGAAAAGAAAGACAAATTTCTTGAGAGATAGCGTCCTAAGAGATAGCACAATAGTAAAGATATGTATGAGACCTTGTGGTATCACCTACGAATCTTGCATTGGTCACGATGTTTGATTATAAGCATCCACTAACACAAATCACACCACATCGATTAAAAGACAAATTATGAAAAAAAAACTTAATTTTTTGTCCTGGACTTTTTAAATTTAAGATAAACTAGGATGACAATTGCCTCTTAATTTCTTCTCGAATTTGTCCCTATACAAGTAAAAGAAAATACATTTATTGGTATAAAACCTTTATATTAAAATATAAAAGCAAAATCATTCCCATTTAAGTTGGAAGTAGATAATAATATAATATTATAATATAGGCTCCCACTTTCTCCCTTCCACAAAAATAAAATTGAAAAATAAACCAAACATATCTTTTTCCTCTTCAACCAAGAGCCTAGGTTTTACACATAATCTAGTCAACACTCAAACTTTATTTATATATATATATATATATATATATATATAGATTACTCAATGAGTTGGGTAAGATTTATGTTCTTGTGCTTTTATGGAAATCTGCATACATATATCTCTTTGATTAGATAATCTATTTATTATCGTAGAGTATAAATCCAATTGCATATGAATCTTTACCTAAAACTTAAACCGTTTCATCTAATCATTCATTTAACCCCTTTTTTAAATTGTTATGTGTGTGACCTAAGAGTTAGGTTCTTTCAATTTGGTCTTTTCTTTGATGTCGGTACAATTTTTTGAACATACCTTATTTTTCACACACTCCACCACGTGTTTAGTATAATCACCTACTTAATTTATTATAAAACATACAAGGAGCTTTATATTTTAGTATTATATTGATTAGAAGTATATAGAAGATCGTTAGGTATAAAAGTAAAGTCTATATATTCATTGGTACGATAGTTTTAACAGGATGTGCAATCAAATGACAATAAGTACATCAAAACTTTTAGTCAATTACATTAAACAAGTTCACATTTTTTAAAGTAGAACAAAAAACATCAAAATGGGAGCCCACATGTTTGAATGAAAGAGGAAGTCTATCTATGGGCTGGTCGTGGGTTGAGTAGAGAGTGAATGATTGGTTTTTTGATCAGTATACGACATGATCTCCTAATTATAATGAATATGATGGGAATTGAAAGAGAGTGAGGGCTAATTTCTTTCACATTCTTGTTTTTACCAAACTACCCAACCAACCACATTTGTTTGAGCTAAAAGTTTGGCCATTTTTCACCTTAACCAATCACACAAACAACCATTAAAAATAATAATAATAATCATACATCAACATCAAAGAGAGAGAATTTTTCGTAATTTGATTGATATTTGTTATAGTTTTATATGTATGCGAGTAAATTTAAAAACAAGCAAGCATAAAAGCAAGTATATTGTTTGGTCCGATCCATATCAATGGCATAAAAGCAAGCATTAAATGATATGAAGAGAGGTGGTATATATTGAATATTGTCAACCATTATTGTTTTTTAGAAAAATTTGTGGTGCTAAGATGATTTTTACGACCACTTCATATTATTATCGTTGTCCCACCATACTCATAAATATTAGATATTCATTAGGAGTGAACATCGATGAGTCGATGTCAATTTTAGCACAAAACTGATATCGGCCACCGACCACTAATTTTCGACTGGTTGGAAACATAAATTTTTAAGCTTTATTGGATTGACCTGTCCATCAGTTTGGTCAGTTGGGTTTTTGATGGATGTTGGAAGGTTGAATGTGCATTGTTGAAAAAACCCAGATGCAATAGAAAAAGGAAGGAGAGGAGGGAAAATAGGGGGAGATAAAAGAAGAAAAAATAAGAGAGAGAGTACTTTTAAATAAAACATTTTTCAAATGCACTAAATATGTATTTAGATACCAATGTGAATTTGAGTTTAATTCAATTGATTAACATATATATTCTCGACTAAAAAGTTGTACGTTCGAATCTCCACGGTAACCTATTGTATTAAAAATAAATATTAATCAACACAGAAAAAAACACTTGAATGCGTTTTAAGTGCTTTATAAATACACCATCTGTGCTTTAACTCATCCAAAGCCCTTAAAGCTACCTAAAAACATCTTTACAAGAAATTTGATGCTTAGCTCATGACTCAAAGAACCCCTAAACATGTATTAGGGCATTTTTTTTTAATTTTACAAAAATATTTTGTATTTTTGCTGTTTTTGTCTGTCATATCATATGTCAACATCGTATTAAAGATGTTATAAATAAAAAGAACTAAATAGAATCATATATATTTCAAAGTTTAAATGATACAATTTAGAGACCAAAATAAACATTCCTACTATTTTTAGTTGATCTGTGAAAATAGGTAAATAAAATTTAAAAATAATATCATTTCATGTTTTATTATATTTTGAACAAAAAAAAAAAGAAAAAAACCTTTACAAATCATAACTTACTCAACTCAAATATTTTACCTAATTAAAATCAGAACAAAACCATATCAGCTCTAGACGTGTTTTAACTTGACCAAAACAAAATATAAACATTCCTACCTACAATGTGTTTAAACACATATTATTGCATATGTATCCACTTTAGCATGTGAAAGTCACCTTTTTTTCTCCTCATACATGTTTGTGAACAATATTCAATTTTACATAGAGGACTAGAATAATCTAGATATATATGTATATGTAATATATGGCTAATTGTTTCTCTTTTTAAAAATTAAATGTTAAACATGTCATGGTCAATATTGGTTCGTTCCATTTCATAACTATATTATTTTGTCAAAATTTAACTTCTTTGTTTTTATATACCGCTTAAGAATATAGTTAAAAGATAGCATTGAAGAAGATTTTTTTAGTATAATATATAGGGCATAGATTCGAACTCACAATTTTTTATCAGAAATAACTGTCTTACCGAGTTTCTTCAATTTTAACTTATATGGGATAAAATATTTTAGTTTTATAACGAGTTCATCCAAATGAACTTTGAGAATATAGAAAATACACATCTTTTCATAAACATATTTGATTAAGGTCAACGTGTCCTGTTTTCTTTCTGTCAAAAATACACGAAAATTTTAATAAAAATATTTATACTTTCCAAATAAACATTAGAAAATTCGACCAAATCAAGCCTTTTGTATCTTCATATTCTTGATTTATTATTATTATTATTATTATTATTATTATTATTATTATGGCATGCGCATATGACGCAGACAATGAGCTATATTGATATCTAGGTTTCAAAAACCTTGACCACAAAAAAGGAAATTAAAAATGAAATTAAAATTAAAATCCACAACACTCCTTTCAGAGACAACTAGTTATTTGTTTAGTATAGAGCATGCGACCAATGAGATA